ATTGTCACATTGTTTAATACATAAATAAATGCTGATAGAATGTGGTTGCTAGTCTGTGATGCTGATACATTGTAGACAGAAACACTATGCCAAATTTTTAGCTTGTTATTTCACTGTGGGAAAAGAAACCTGAAATATTTATTTTGGAAAGAATATTTTAACCTTAGTGGACAGAAAATCATACCATGGGTTAAAGGGTTAAGTTATGACTACTGACTACATGAACTCTGAATGACATTCACACACAGGAAGTGGGATTTGTTAATAACTTCAGCTTTTATTGCACATCATTTATTGCCCTTGGGAAGATGGTTGTGAACTATCTTCTGAACATCTGTTATTCATGTGGTGAATGTGCTCCTGTAATGCTGCTCTATAGGGAGTCCTAGAACTTTGACTTAGTGACAGTGAAGGAATGGGGGGTTCCAATGGAGCAATGGGTGGCTGTAAGCCAGAAGTACTGGTTCAAGCCCCACACATAATTTGATGGCCATAGAAAATATAACAAGGCCAAACAGATTGAGTATCAATTTTAATTACTCCAACACTCCTACAGCATGTGGTAAGAGCAGGCAAGTTACCTGATAATTCATGGATGGCACAAACTACAGTCTCTGATGACAGGGTAACTACCTGTTCCAGGAAAATAGTACCCACTGAAACAAACAAAAGGTGCTTTGCCTGCCTCAAACATCACTTAGACGTAAGAAGAGGGAAAAAACGACAAGTAGACATTAATGAAAGGGTGATAAATTTCCAAATCGAAATGGAAAGCTACTTAGAGGGGAACTTGGATGCTGCGTATTTCCATATGTCTAGTAACCCTGTCCTTGATGTTAGTTGTTGTTTGGGTTCAGAAGGTGATGCCAAAGACTCTGTGAGATTGTTCGTGGCATCATTATAATTGTGCACATTGTGCACTAAGTATGGATTGAACTAATGTTAACACAGGTGAAGGGCTGTCAATTAAACACATTGCCCTGTCCCAAAATACTTTTTAAGTGTGGTGGGGATGCACTCATCATATCAAGTGGACAGTTTTGCCTGGCAGTTTTTTTGGGTGCCTTGTAAATATTGGAATGGTTTTGGGGAGTCAGGAGCTGACTAATATTCAGGTTCTTGCCTTCTGTTATCTTGATGATAAAATATCCTGATCTAATCGATATTGTGGTGATCTACAGACACATACAATATTAAAAAGGATTTGATATGGTACATGCAGAGAAATTGCTACCTTAGCTGAGAATGGGGCTGTCACTTAAAATTAGTGGCAGGCCATTCAAGGGAAAAGTAAGGATGTGCTTCATCACACAAAAGGCAAGTAATCTCACCCCCAAAAGGTTCTGGTGCTAGCTCATAAGAACTTTCTAAACCAATGTCAACACATCTTAAAGCCAAGATCAAAAGCAGTTCAATGTTTCAGATACAGACCAAACACAATAAACTGAATAGCATATCAGACTTGAGGGCAAGAATGGCCTCCTCCTGCCATATGTATGTTATAGATGATGAGAAAAGATCATAGACAGAGAAAGAGAAACAGGGAGAGGAAAACAGACAGAGACAAGCAGACAGAAAGAGAGGCAGAGAGATAGACAGACAGAGAAAGGGAGATAGAGAGAGACATACAGAGAGAGGGACGCAGACAGAGGGAGAGATAGATCGACAAAGAGAGGGAGACAGACATATAGAGCCTGACAGAGAGAGGCAGACAGAAAAAGACAAATAAAGAGAGGGAGACAGACTGAGAGAGCGAGATAGACAGAGAGAGAGAGACAAAGACAAACAAAGAGAGACAAATAGAGAGAGGAAGACACAGAGAAAGAGACAGCCAAAAAGAGACAGACGGCGAAAGACAGACAGAGAGAGAAGCAGACAGATGGAGAGAGGCAGACAGAGACAGAGAGAGAGAAACAGACAGAGGGAGACAGACAGAGAGAGATAGATACTCAAGGAGAGGGAAACAGACAGATAGAGGCACACACAGAGAGGAGGAAACATGACATTTGATAAAATTTCTTTGAATCACT